ACCAATAGTCTCTTAATGTAAACAAACATTCCTGGGAGTAACACATTACTTACTAATTTGGAAATACTTGGGGAACCTCACAATAACATCACTCAAGAGCACATGTGATTTGATACAAGCAAGTAAGTCAGTTGAGATCCCAATTTCCCCTTCAGCTTAGAGGGCAGCAATAGGTAAGCTGAGTTAGTTGATATACTTAAGGCTGATATTCGAATTCATGTTATTCTGTAAAGTCTGACTTCCCATTCAAAGATCTTGAATTACTTACAATGAACATAAAAGTACCATGTTTTTTAAAAAAATAAGTTGATTATAATAGACAGTGTTCAATTAAATTCAATATATATATGCTAACAAACAATAAGGGCAAATTTTCACAATTGGGTAGCTATGCTAAGCTTTCTAGAGTTAAATGAGAAATCAATCTTAGTTTCTTCACCTATCATCTTTCTAACTTTAGGCAAGTTTCTTAAGCCTTGTCTTACTTCCCCATCTAGCAAGTGGGATCTTATGATATTTACATATACTTCAAGAAAACAATATTTATAAAGTGCTTAGAATAGTACCTAGCATAAAATAGTTCTCAAAAAATATCAGCTATTATCAACTGAAGGAGTTAAAATGATTTTAATGTTCTGTAATCAATCAATTCAACAGGTTTTAATGATCCTCAGATGGTCCAGTTAGTCACATGGAAGGAATCTAATGTGCACTGAAGGAATTTCCACATTTAGAAGTAGAGACATCACAGAAGAGTATTTGACTGCCATAAAATAACCCCGGAGAATGTAATTTCTAAAGGGCAAAAGAGATTAGGAAGTATAGAAAGTGATGCAATTCAAGAGTAGATCTCTTGGAATAAAAGCTGGAGAAGGCAGAGAAACAGGAAAATGATGTCTCCAATCAGTTTAGAAGCCAGTGGCAGTTTTAGGAGTCTGTGTCAATTTTTGAATATATCAGCAGCTTAAGTTGCCTTTTATAAGTTGATTATAATAGACAGGGTTCACTTAACTCACAGATGTATTAGAATAGCGTAAGCCATGCAGTTTACCTTAATAAAGGCTTCAATTTTGTTTTAGCCAAGTAAGAAGTTGGTTATGCTTTCTAATAAAAATACACTTGGCATTTTCCTGAGGAACTGTTATCTCATGTCAGACATATATGCTTAGTTCATGGGGGAAACATCTGTGCTGTGGTTTGCCTTTTTCATCCTCTTGTGGAAAAATTACACTGAAGGGAAACTGTTAAAATAGCAATAAGAAATCAATTTACATTTAGCAACAAATGCAGATCCAAGACTAATAACACACTGGTATTTTCTGCTTCACTGAGACACATTGCAAGACTGAAAAATATAGTCCTGTTATATCTGTCTTTAGAAAGAGTTACCATCTAAAAAAAAAGTTGCTGTTAAAAGTAATTGTTGGCTTCTTGACGCATCAGGCTCATTAATGTGATCTGAGTATCAACCTTTGTTACCATTTACAATTTTCAGATAGGTCATTAACAAAAGTTAGGAAAAAGAATGACTATGAAATTAGTCTTTGAGAATATGCATACATTCTCAATACTAATGCTATTAGGTAAGTGATTTATGTTTGAATGTAGAGAAGCCATAAAGCAGCCAGCCCAAGAAAACGAAGGGCAGTTTGTGTAATTGTCCCGAAAGTTACCCAAATCGGAAATGCTGTGGTTATTGCACACAGCGGTAGAAATGCTATTATGACAGAAGAGTCTTACAGGAGGGACAGAAATTGAACACGTAGGTATGAGAAACAAGTTTACATTCTAATAATATTTTACTGATTGTTCAAGAAAACTCTCAAAACCATGCAGCGATGAATCAATATACAGTAGTAATGAAATAACATAATTTAAAAAATTAAATGGATTTTTTTTCCTTCTAGGTTACGGTTCTTTAAAATATGTTTTCTAAGCACAAGTATGCAATGATTTTAGGATTTCTTAAATAAATAAACTTTTGAAATGCTGTTGGCCTGGCTAAAGTGCAGGGGTAGAGAGGGTGGGTAGTTCAGAAGGGTAAGTGCTAAAGTCCTTGGGAATTAGTCCATGGCTTCACTCAACAGGGCCTTTGTCAATAGGGTTCAATCCTATATGAGGCTTGTCAACTAACCACAGTAGCATCTTTGGTCTGTTTCTTATTGAAAAGAATAACACTGGTGTGCTTACAGAAAACATTTCCCATGTTGACGGCACAGTCAGGCTACTATAACCTTCTCCGTGTTCTTTTCTTAAATGTGCAAGACTCCTAAAAACATTTGAGTATTTGCCATGCTCAGAGTAATCAAATATTATAAATACATCAAGTCTTGAGAAGTTGTCTCACATTTCCAAACTCCTACTCAGAGCAGTGGTCATGGACAAATGAGAGATGCTATTCTTTTTCCATTTTGCCACAGTAAATTAAGTTGAGCTTTACCATTTTAGCAGTGACATTAAGTAATTTTATGGACCTGTTAAACAGGCCTAGAAATCGTCTCAACAGTCATCTGGAACAGTCAAGTGCCTTCAGGTGGGTGACATTTTATTCCTCCATGTGGTTAAATTTTATTGACTTCATACTGATAAGCTACATTTAAACATGTTCCACTAATATATCAAGCTGGACCACAGGTCAACCACGTACATTTAATAATACACTGAAAAATGCATAGATATCCTAACTGTAAGTACAAATCTAGCCTTTGTTCTAATGGGGATTCATTATGTATTTATCCATAAAAATTTCTGCCAATTCAATTAATTAACTAGCAGTAAAATATCCAAATAAAGAAAAGGTCTAAAGAGTAGTAAAACTGTAATTATGCGTAAACCTAATTTTTTTTTTTTGAGTTGGAGTCTCACTCTGTCGCCCAGGCTGGGGTGCAGTGGCATGCTCACGCCCACCCCAGCGTCAACCTCCTGGGCTCTGGTGATCCTTCCGCCTCAGCCTTCCAAGTAGCCAGAAACACTGGCACAAGTTACCACACCCGGCTAATTTTTTAATTTATTGTAGAGACGAGATCTTGCCAAGTTGCCCGGGCTGGTCTCGAACCTACAGGCTCAGGCAATCCACTCGCCTTGGCCTCCCAAAGTGCTGGGATTACAGGTTGAGCCACCAAGCCAGGTCTAAACCTAAATTTTTAAGGTCACTATTGATAGGACAAATGGCAAGTAAGATTACAGATAACATCATTCTTAGAATCAAGATCTGCAAGGATCTGAGATGGAAAGAGAAAGATTAAAGGACTAAAGATATGCTGATATAACCCTAGCTGAAAACAGGTATCAAAAGACAGTAGGCATCTGTGAAATAACTTTCTTTTTGGATTGGAGGCCAGAGATACATTGGCATTGCCTCTGGAATTGGAAGGAAACCAATTTTTAATTGGTTTTAAAATCTGGAATGAAACATTCTTCCAGTCATCCATGAACCGACCTTATCCTGTAGAAGTTGAGTGAATCTTGGCCAACCATCTGCCTTGTGAATTGTTTTGTTTGGGCTCCTCATGGGACAGAAAATACTTGTGCAGTAGTTTCACATCAGGTTACAGTCCTCCATAATGTTACTTGCACAAAAAATTCAGAGAGAGAAAAAAATCTTGAGAGAGAAAAATCAAATGCCTTCGCTATTTGCCCTAGGGCTGGACATCTGCAAAGCTGGGAGTTACCACCTACTTTGCTCCATACCATAACATAACAGCTTCCAAAAAGAAGTAAAAGCTATTACTGGAGAAGAGAGATAGCTGGGCAAATAGATTGCATTAGGGAAGGTCAAACAAGGTATTTTGAAAATGGATTTAACCTAGAATTCGACTAGATTCCCATGATAACACCAGAGCCTCATACACAGCTAAATTTCTATATATTCTGGTGGAATGAATGCTGACTCTTTTGAAATGTGCACTTTATGAAACGAGTATGGAACAAAGGATTCTTCTCAACAGTGCCCATAAATGGGGAGATATTTTCCTTCTTGAATACACTGCTTCCACACAGAGAACAGGAGTGAGAGAGGACACTAAGAAGACGCAATAATTCCTGACTCCTAAAACAAATGGAAAACCTGTGGTAGATGAAAATAGTCCAGACTACTTTGTGAATTAAAAGCCCACTTTCTCAGCTTGGAAATAGTTGAAATAACTAAGCCCCATCAAGAACTTGCAGTATTTGGGTTTGAATGGCTACCTAGAAATGAGAAGGACAAAAGAACAATAAAACCAAATTTAGCTGTCCAATTAATAATAATAATAGATTATATGTATAGGCTTTTAAATTTTACGATAATACTTTAAAAAATGTTGCTGGAAGATGCCAGATCTTAACTCTAGAATACTCTATCAGATCTTCCTAAGGAAGTACAAATTTAAGCTGGAACCCAGGTGAATGGAGGTCCTCTGAAACCATAGCAGCTGGAGAGGTGCAGAGATGTACTATTTATTTGGGAATTTCAGGGTGGGGGACACACATTTCAGAGTGTAGAGCACTTTGTCATTTCTAAAGTTGCCAGTGAGTTATTGAGATGTACTCCTAGGACTAAGAAACTGCTATCCATTCCAGCTGATCAAGAGCATAACCTGGTGTCATATTATGAAGCAAAAGGAGTACTTTTTTTTACTTACTGAAATTAATTCTCTCCTAAATCAGGGCAACACTGGAGAACCACCTATTTCAGTATAACTTAACAAGTGAGAATTTTAGAGTCAGGTACCTGGCTCAAATCCCAGTTCTACCACTTACCACGTGTATGACTTTCAGCAACCTACTTTGGCTCTCTTTGCCTTGGCTTATTCTTCTGCAAAATGGGGATAATAAAAAGACCTATCTTATAATGTTGTGGAGGGGATTAAGTGACTTAACACTTAATACTCAAAGTGCCTGATCCATGATAAATTCTCCATGGATGTTAGCTTTTAATATTAATCCAGTGTTGCAATACAGGAGGCAGAAGAAGAGGATGTGATGTCATCAGTCTAAGTATCTGGGACTTTGATATTTACCTATAACACAGAAAGGCTTCCGGGCAAACCTCAATCTTCCTTGCCATCCTCTATACCGACAACAGCAACCCGCAGACCAGATTCGAATGATGAACTCCAAACCAAAAACGACAATCATCACGAACTCCTAAAATATCAGATAAGACATGTCAGAGAGAAACATTATGGAGAAAACCACAGCAAGAAGCTCTATGAATATTTTTGGACATTTAGGCATTTCATCTAAAAGACCTAGTTGCTAATATCTAAGGTTAAGAATATTTCCATTTCTCTATTGTACCCCACATCTTTAAAATAAAAGTAAAAAAAGAGAATATTTCCTCTTTAAAGAAAACTAAACCTGGAGAACATCTGAACCTCATATTGTCTGCATTTCCTATCATGGAATACTATTCGTTTTCACTAACACTTTGCAAATTTAGGAGTCAGTTTCAATACTAAATGTGCAGGCTGAATAATGGATCTGTCTCTCTGGAATTTATAGTGTAGCTGACTTTAGCTACCCAGTAACATGTGGAATATCTGATGTAAAATAGTGGATCCTGAAGTACAATAGCAAATTTTACAGAAAACAGAGCTTCATTTTGCTGTAAGGAGTGACATAATCTCTAAGCCTTCAAGAGTTGTTCTCAGATAAAGAAAACTAAATATTTAGAAGTATACTGAGCTCTTTTGTCACAGTATCAAAATCTCCTAAAAAAACAAGTTTCAAAAGCATTACCATGTGTGTCACATATATCTTTTGCCAGAAATGAGCCCCGGAATCCTCTGGATCCGAAGCTTATTAATTATCATACTGTCCTTGGCAAGAGCTACCTAGAAAACAACACCTGCTCCAGGAAAATGACTTTAGAGATTATTTAGGAAGAGTTGTGAGTTAACCCTGGGGAAAAGGCCAGCTAAGGTGGCTCATTAAACAGCCAGTCATAGAATGAAAAACCAAATGAAATTTGTAAAAGAAAAGCATCACTTGAGAAACCTTAGCACAGTCACCTTGATGTCCCTTCAGGGACATGCACTGTGTTTATCAAATTGGTTTTTCTTTAAAAAAAAAAATCATGTTCTTGTTTTTAAACAAGTTCAACATTTATAATGTATAATGTTTACTGATTTTTATTATAATTGCTTAATTATAAAAGTGATGCAGGTCTTTATCAAAACTTTCAACATCTCAGAAATATAGAGCATAGAAAGTAAAAAGTTCGAATCCATTCCACACTCCTCCAGCCCACTCCCAAGATAAAAACTGTTGGCAAATTTATAAAAATGGCATTTTGTTGTAAGTTTCAAGCAAATGTCGGCTTCTTGAGTTAGTGTATGCGATGATGTGCTGCACTTTTGAAATGCCTAGTAGGGATATATCATTCCATCATTCTGTTATTTTGCACTCAATAACCCACAAATATTTCTCATACTCTCCAATATCATTATTGCTACTTACAGTGACTTAAAACGATGTACAAGATGCATCTTCAATGAAGACTTTATGTACAGATAACCAACTTTAAGGTCAACATACACTCATTAATGATCTGAGGGTTTTGTATAGTTTTGGCTTTCAGTTCATATCAGTTCATATTCACTTATTAAGATGTCTAAAGTGCCCTATCATCTAATTGTAATCCAGTACATTTTTCCACATACAGAAAGTGTACCGAGGCTTATAATGTCCATGTAGCAGTGCCTATGACCAAACTAGGATTAATGACAGGTCCACTTTTTTATCCCTGCCCTGCCCCTAACTCCTATTTATGCCAGTTGTGAGTTGAGCACTCCAGTTGTGAGAGGTCATATTATGAGAAATATCCAAGAAAATCCCAAATGTGGCCTGAGCACCCAGACACTACCATGTAATGAGTTTTCTTTATCATGGAAACAAGTGACACCAATAGATGTATGACCATGGTTCTTAAGTAAGGCATGCTAAGGTCACTGTTCTATTTACATGCTGGAGTAGTGCAGGATAAATTACATTTACAAAAATATTTACTTAAGACCCACTGTTCAGAAATATTGCTTGCTGCTTTTTTGTTGTTTTTCAAAAAGGTTAGGAGAAAAATGAAAACAGAGTCTCAAAATCACGAAGCAAAACTGATAGAGCTGAAGGAAGAAATGGATGAATCCACAATTATATTTGGGGACTTCATCACCCCATCCCCATTCAGAACAACAAGCATAGAACTGTTAGAAAGAAAATGAGCAAATACATAAACACAGCACATCCGACCTACATGTATCTAACAGATAGATGTAGATCATTATACCCAACAACAGCAGAATACACAATTTTGAAGCATCCATGGAACATTTATCAAGATGAAGTATATCCTGGGTCATGAACAAACTTCAAGAAGTTTAAAAGAATAAAATTATACAGAGTGTATTTCCAAGCCATAATGGAAACAACCTAGAAATCAATAACAGAAAGACAACAAGCACATTTCTGAACATGTGGAAATTAAACAATATACTTCCTAGCAATCCACTGGTCAAAGAGACGGTCTCAAAGAAAATTTAAAAATACACAGAACTCAATGAAAATAAAAATGCAACATATCAAAATATGTGGGATGCAGTAAAGGCAGTGCTGAGAGGAAAATTTATAATACTGAATGTTTACATTAGAAATGAGGAAAGGTCTCAAATTAATAATCTAGGTCTCTACCTCAAGAAATTAGAAAAAGAAAGATAAAATAACCCCCCCCCCCAAAAAAATAGATAGGAGGAAATAATATAGGTAAGAGCCTAAATTAATGAAACCGAAAAGAGGAAAGCAATAGAGAAAATCCATGAACCAAAAATTGGTTCTTTGAAAAAAATAAATAAAATTGTTAAAACTCTTTGTTGAAAACTGACAAAAATTACCAATATCAGGAATGTTGTAGCAAATATCACTACAGATTCTACAGTCATTAAAAATGAGGAGATGCTATGAATAACTTTATGAAAATAAGCTTAACTTAAAAGAATGGACCAAATGCTTGAGAACTACAAACTATAAAAACACAGCAAAGAAGATACAGATACTCGAAATAGCCCTATAACCTCTAAGAAATTTACCTCAGTTTAAAATCTCCCCAGAATGAAATGTCCATCCCAGATGGTTTTACTGGAAAACTCAACCAACTATTTAAAGAAAAATACACCAATTGCATACAATTTCTTGCAGAAAATAGAAGAGTAGAATCCTTTTATCAGGACAGTATTATCCCCAAACCAGACAAAGACAATACAAAACAAACAAACAATCCCCCCGCCCCAAACCAAACTTAGACACTAAAATCTTCAACAAAACTGAATTAGTCAATACATACAAAGTATATACCAAAAGCAGTGAGGATTTATTCCAAGTATGCTAGGCTGGTTCAGTATACAAAATCAATCAATTCAGTATTCAAAATCAATCAATAAATCAACAAGCTAGAGAAGGAAAAAATCACTATATCAATCAATGCAGAAATAGCATCTGACAATATTTCTAATATCCATTAATGATTAAAAAAGAAAAAAAGCTCTCAGCAAGTTAGGGATAGAAGGTGAACACCTCAATCTGATAAACAGCATTTATAAAAGACCTAACATCATGCTTAGTGGTGGGCTGAATGCTTTTCCCTAAAATCAAGAACAACCAAGATGTCTACTTTAATCACTCTTATTCAACATAGTACTGTAAATTATAGTCCTAGCAATGAAGCAAATAAAAGAAAAAAAAAGGTATACAGTTCACAAAGGAAAACATAAAATGGTCTCCATTTGGAGGTGACGTGATTGTATACATAAAAAATTCTAAGGAATCTATAAAAACACTCTTAGAACTAATAAGTGGGTCCAGTAAGGTTGTAAGATATATGATCAACATACAGAAATCAATCACATTTCAGTATACTAACAATGATCATGTGGAAACCAAAATTAAAAACAGTATTATTTATGATCACTCCAAATAAAAAATAATACTTAGATGTACATTTAGGAAAACAAAAACAGTTTATGTGTGCTGAAAATTTCAAAATGCTGATGAAAGAAATCAAAGAAGACCTAAATAAGTGAGGAGAAATACCATGTTTATGAATTGGAAGACTCAACATGGTGAAGATGTCAATTCTTCCCAAATTTATCTATGAGTTTAATGAAATTCCTTTCAAAATCTCAGCAAGGTTTTTTTTTTTGTAGGCACAAACTTAATCTATAATTTATGAAAATTTACAGGTCCTAAAATAGCTTAAAAAATGTTACCAGGAAGAATAAAACTTTTTACTTGATATTAAGTCCTATTATGTTGCTCCAGTAATCACGACTGGTATCGGTGGAGGGAAAGACATATAGAACAGTGAAACTGAAGAGAGAACTCAGAACTGGATCCACACAAATATGCTCAAAGGATTTCTGTTAAAGGTACAAAAGAAATTTGAAGGAGGACGAATAGTCCTTCAACAAATGATGCCGGAGAAATTGGACATCCATAGGCAAAACAATGAACCTATACCTCACACCTTACACTAAATCATTTAAAAATGGACCATGAGCTTCCATATTAAACATAAAACAATAAAACTTTGCGTAAAAAATATATGAGAAGATTTTGAGGATTTGGGAAAGAATTCTCAATCTTGACTTCTAGCGTACAAGTTATAAAAGAAAAAAGTGACAAACTGAACTCAATCAAAATTAAAAACTTACTCTGTGAGGACTCATGTACTAAGGACGAAAAAACAAACTATTGATTGGGAGCAAATATTTGCAAACATGAAAATATTTTTGACATCATTAGCCATCAGGAAAATGGGAATGAAAGCCACAATGAGATATTAACACACAGTTGTCAGAATGGCTAAAACAAAAAACAGTGACAAAAATAATGACAACACAAGATGCTGAGGAAGATGCAAGGAAGTTGGATCATTCACTGCTGATGGGAAGGTAAAATATTACAGTCTCTTTGAAAAACAGCTTGGCAGTTTCTTATAAAACTGAACATCCGGCTAGCATATGACTTGCAATTGTACTCACAGGCATCAACATCAGAGAAATAAAAACTAATATTTGTACAAAAACCTGTACATGAATGTTTGTAGTGGAATTATTCAAAACCAGAAAACAGTCCAGATGTCCCTCATCATGAAGATG